AAAATTTAGCTGGGCATGGTGGTGCATGCCTGTAGTCCCAGCTACTTGGGAAGCTGAGGTAGAAGAATCGTTTGAACCCAGGAGGTGGAAGTTGCAGTGAGCGGGGATCATGCCACTACACTGCAGCCTGGCAACAGAATGAGACTCCATTTCAAAAAGAAAAAAAAAATAGACCAAGAAAGGTCTATAAAAATCCCAAATTTCTGGGATTACAGGTATGCATACTGTTGCCTGGCTAATTGTCTTATTTTTTGTAGAGACAGGGTCTCACTATGTCGCCCAGGGTGATCTTGAACTCCTGGCCTCAAGTGATCCTCCTGTCTCAGCCTCCCAAATTGCTAGGATTGCAGGTGTGACCCCTCATGCCCAGCCAAATATATTGTTTTGACAGAGAAGATAAGGCAGGAAAGGCTATATAAACAGAATCTCAAAAGGCGTTCAGGTAGCTCAGCAAGGAAAACTCCTCTCAATAAAGTGGAAACAGAATTTGGTACTAAAGTCTAATGGTAAATTTCATTAGCTAGTTTTAACAATAAAAAACAAGTGCCTATTACCAAATGCACATGCTAATCCCTAAGTAAGGGAGAAAACTTATGGCTGACTTTATGTAACTGGGTAGGTGAAACACAGCCAAATCCTCCCAGAAAAGCCACCTTATGACTCATCAACATTTCCAACTTATTGTTTTACCCCTTGTTACTTGACTATATAAAATGTCATGTTTGGGCTGGGCACGGTGGGTCACACCTGTAATCCCAGCACTTTGGGAGGACAAGGTGGGCAGATCACCTAAAGTCAGGAGTTCGAGACCAGCCTGGCTAACATGGTGAAACCTCATTTCAAAAAAATGAATAAAAACAAATAAATAAAATGTCATGTTTTGTTTCTTGTTGTTGTTTTTTCAGAGTCTCTGTCTCCCATGCTGGAGTGCAGTGGTGTGATCTCGGCTCACTGCTACCTCCACTTCCTGGGTTCACGTATCTCTCTGCCTCAGCCTCCCGAGTAGCTGGGATTATAGGTGCCCACCACCATACCATGCCTGTCTAAATTTTGTATTTTATTTTTTATTTATTTATTTTTTTTGAGACAGAGTTTCACTCTTGTTACCCAGGC